CCCCGAAGAAATGTTGGTCATATGAGTTTTATCGGTGGAGAATCAGGCTAGGCAGTAGAATATACTTTAATAACAACTTTATGCATTTTATCTTATTGTATTTAGAAATGTTGTTGATTTATATTTGTAGGTTTTCCTAATCTGTCTTATTGTTTAACGTATTGCAGAAAAACTCAACTATCTTGAAATTTCTAAAAAAAAAAGTAGAACTGGTGCTTAAGAGGTCATCTACTTCAACTTACCTGGGGTCCACCTTACCGTTGTGAAGTTAGATTAGTATAGTCCGCGGCGCTAAACGCCGCGCACACATTCAATTCGCATGCGGAACGACTTGCTCCCAGCTGTCGCGGGCAACAAATCCAACTAAATTTCTCCACTTAACACTTACTTCTGCAACTTTCCTTCCCTGCTTATCCTATTTCCCCACCTCCAAGACCCTATAACCACCGTTTCCTTAGGACAAAATGCTGAGACAGTGGGTATCTGAGGTGCACTACTTAAACTACCTTTGCCGCACAACCCAATGCAGGATAGCAATTTTACAGATCACAGCCTACTGTTAACAAAGCCTACGACTGCATAGAACATGGCAAAGAGACGTTTTGGTCGTCCTCGGATCTGGTTTATCAGTTTAATGAGTTCGTTCGGCCGAGATGTGCTTCTATCATATAGGACGCGAATGAACTTTCGAAAATATATTCTACTTTGTTCCGTTGCTTTTCTGGCCTAAACCTCTTTTTAGGCTGCTGATTCATTTTATTTACTAGAATCCCCGCTGTCTCGCACTGTTTTTTGAATCGCGCTTGGCTATCTTGCTAAGCCAGTTGTGATTTCCACTTTGTACCTAATTCTGTCAATTACACTAGATCTCGCGTACGGCTCACAGGGACTGTGCCTGTCGAGGCAGTAACGACGGGTCTGGCTCTTCCGAGTCCCCACCAAGTTTGGATCTGCAGGAGGATGATTCTGTCGTCGCCAATATCGACAGACCAAAGACATTCTCTGCCTTTGCCGCCCAGCGCGATGGTAGATACCTTCACCAGCAGACCCAACTACAGCGTCCAGTACTAACGGCCTTGCCCTACTCTAGGCGGACCATTGATTATTATGAACCCTCCCCGGAGAAAAAGCAGCAACAGCATTCGGTGGCCGCCGCCGCTTCGCAGCCACTGTCGTCGCCGTCGCACCACGTGGAGG